TGAATTAGTATATGCAATGTTATCCGTATGAAAAATTTCTACTTTTATTCTTAAATCTGAATTACTAGTTTATTTGAATACATTCAAAAATTCAACCAACAGAGCACTAAACACTGAAGTTATTTGTAAATATATATATCTCTTCGAGCGCTTAAAGCATTTTTGATTTTTTATACCTCTGAAAATTCATTACAGAAACTATCAAAATAGACTCAAAAATGTTCTCAAATGTAACTCGATGAAAAATATATCACATTGAATAATATTCCCCTAAATGCAATAATCTCGATTTGAGAAGGACAGTGAAAATTCCATGAATTATAAATCATAGAATTTGTTATCGTAATTATTATTATTTCAATAGCTATTATAATTATTATTTTCGAGTTTTAAAATGGCTGTTTGGAGCATTAATCTAGAAATTAAATAATGATGTAAATACTTAGAGACTATTTAATTTTATACACTCCTATATAAAATTGAATGTTTGTATATTTACGAGGGTTGGGGCAAAAGTCATGGCAACTATTTTTTTGTCTTGAAGATACCAGTCCGGTTGAAAAATGTGACATATACAGACGAAAGGACAAGGAGTTAACTACATGTGTGGATAATGAATAGCACTGAAATATCGTAACACACTAATTTATTACGGTAGTATATATACGGAGCAATATGGCCTTCATGGTGCAAAAGAATGACAACATAGTACTCATAAAGTTGACATGACACACCTGGGCCTAAAAACCTTCAATGTAGTCCCCTGCTACTGTCACCACACATTGCCAACGATGTGGGAGGCGCTGAATACCATCAGCCTCAGCATTTGCCGCACCATGTGTGAATCGTCCCGAACGATGCTCATCACAGGTTGAGACACGTCCTTGCTGAAACTTTCCTACCCACCGCGCTATTGTACGGTATGGTAGGGCATTATTCCCAAGGGCTTCCACTAATTCACTGTGACATTCCATCGCATTTCTCCCTCGGAGAACGGCTATTTTGATGTAAACGCGCTGCTCAACTCGGGTTACTTCCATCTCGCACGACACTCACCAACTGACTGATTTCACAGCCCTCGCTGAGCTACTAACAGCTATCACAGAACCATATGTTGTTCTGCATACGTACTATGCCTGCAGTACTTCCACTTGACACATATACGTTTGTGATCCGTTCACACATCAACAAGAAAAGAAATAGTTGCCATGACTTTTGCCCCAACCCTCGTATTTATTTGTAACTTGTACAAATCAACACTGTTAATTCTATCGCTTCAAAATTTTGCTTGTGTAATTTTGGTATCCCTTAAAAGAACTTCATTACTTGGTATCATGAGGGATCACACAGCTTTTTGACAAAAGGCATTTTATTTCAAATTCATTAAACAAAACATTGAATTCAACATGAAGTTTTGCTCTTCACAACCTTTCGCTGGAGAAAAGTTCTACCCCCCTGTTAGGGTCAAAGATCTTGAAATGAGGAGCTTCTGGGTGCGGCTGTCCCCGCAATCCCTTTTGTTGGTATAATTCAAAGTCAATTCATTCAAGCCATTGCTCCGCAGACTCTTGCACTCCGTCTTTCAAAGTTCATCGCAATGCCTCTCTCTTGGTCCTTGAGTTGCGGCTAGTAATGCAAAAGATTGAAGGAGATAGAGCAAGTCTTAGTCAACTTGTGAGCTGGCCCCTTTAAACCCCTTGGGCGAATCTCTTTCACACTCCTAATCCTGTCTGAGTGTAGTGGATCTGCACATGGCCTTCCTCGCTTTAGTAGCAACGCTATTGGTGCTGGGAGACAATAGGCTGGTGCGTCTGAAACCAACTCCGACGCCGTACCTAGTATACCATCTAGAGGGCTATAAATTGCCCTATCACTTTGACACTGAAGGTATGTTTTTATCACAACTGGCCGACATTTTCATTCAAATAGATTGGGATCCACACGTACGAAGCAAACCGGCAAAGGATATTGTTCACAGGAATGTCTTTTCTATAGATCGTTGAGACTGAAATCTTCTGGGTGTCGGAGAAAAAAAGGTGTGGCAACATAAAAGCCGTTTTCAGTATCGACTCACATCTGTTTTCCCCAGGCAGTAGGGGAGAATACACCATCTCTTTTGGAAGATACAATGTCCCATCTGAGCATTCTGGTTACACCGTACATCAAACTTGAAAAGTATTGTCGGGAAGGGTTCTACTAATGAGCCGATGTCACACAAGAAACTTCAAGCGTATGTCCAGCAAAATAATTCTAATTTTATTTTTGGTGTTTCTTTTTTTAAAAAAGAACCTTTTACATATAAGAAAGAGTTTGTGAGTGTATGTGTGAAGTCGCCAAAATGACGTGATAGGCAGTCTATTTTGGAAAAAGTGAGGGTTATATTAAGGTTGCATTATATAAAACTACCCCTGGTCTATTGGTGACGGATCTCGTAATTGTGAACCATGATCAAGTGATGAGAATGGCACCTGAGCTGGAACCCCATCCTTTTCCTAACTTCCACACTAACAGGAGGATGCTTAAGCCTCGACAGATTTAACGTGCATGAGTCCCCTCTACACGGCGAGTCGTCAGCGATACTAGGCTCGTAGCCATGACATGCCAGCCCCGAATCCGTGACCTGAACCACTAGACTACCACGTCCATGTAGTCAATAGCGGAATTTAGAAAACAACTACTGCATTCGGGGACACTTTTGATTTGGTAATGTTTAAAATTTCGCGTGAGTGTTATCTACATATATGTAGAAGAAAAGTGACTCGCTCATCAAGAGATCGTAGGGACTACTAGATCTACAAATTTGAAATTTGGCAAGGATATTTATTTTGTTAAGTAAAAATCCGCTAACAGTGGGTCCCAAGAGAGGTTCAAAAGTGTTTAAGACAAAATTGCCCGTTTTTGAAGCATTTTTCCGACAAACTTGAACTTGAATGCTTATTTTGTTGATTAAACGTACGCCAAGATTGGATTTCGTGGAAATCGACTACACCAAGGGGAAAAATTACGGGGTTGCCAAAAATAATTTTACTCTCTTTTCATAAATTGGGCTAATACCCATCTTAAGGCTGTCTTCGGTTAATGTTAAAGAATAGGACCCGAATTTGGAACATTTTTTCAGATATAAGAGAAATGAAAAATTTATAAGATATTCTGACTTCCACTATCCTTTAGAGAACAACATTTTTTATCATGCTTTCCATTTTAAACTGAATGAAATTCATTTTTTCTGGTATAAAATGTGTTTTGCATCTTTTCTCCTATACCGTAATGTTAAATGAGTTATGCCTTTATGTATTGAAACGGAAAAAAAAGTATTCCTAGAATATTTTAAAATTTTTGAAAACACTATTTTGTTAACAGATGTATGAGTTATAATATTGCAAATTTTCATGGAAATTGAGGCATTTTTCTGTCTGAAAATGTACTTCGCGTTTAGATCAAGCTCTCGTACTTTTACTGAAGACAACCTTAAGTCAAGAGACAAGGTCTACAAGAATCTTTTTTAATGTAATCGGAAATTTAATTCTAGAATTTAGTTATCAATAGAAAAAAGCAATATATATAAGTCATATAACATTATGAAACACCCAGCAATGTGGGTAGATATTGGCTAGTAATTTTAAAATGAAAACCACCACTTTTTGAGGTACTTTTATTTATTACAGTTCTGTGTTAAGCGGTATGAGAGAAAATCCTACCAACCGGCACATTTCACAGATGCTTCAAAAAAACATTTTAATTTTATCTGAAAGCTCTATTAGCTCATAGAATAAACGCGCTATTATAACGTCATTAAAATGTCGCCACGTATGAACACACACGCAATCTGTGTTAATTTTAATGTTGTTTTATCTAGTTTGGCGAAAATATTATTCTTCCTTTGTTTAGTTTTTATAATTATTGCTGCAAATGGATTTCAAAGAGGTTTAATGAAGCTGAATTTCAATAGTTTTCCCCTGCATTATCTAGTTTAAAATAATCTACACAAGGCGACGAACTATACAAAAGTTGCTCAACTCTACAGAAAAAATATCAATATGCAAATATTTTGTCTCCAACATTATTTTGAAGAATATACTGTTATATTTCCCTTTCGATGTCACATTTGATTGCTTTCTAATACAGAAAAGATGTAAGAGCACGGTCAACACATAATAAAAAACATGAAGCATTACTTTCAGAAATATATTACATCTTTATCCACTGTATACCGTTTCATAACTATTCACGCAAGCAATTACAGCTCAAAGGCATGGTGAAATTATGCAAGTGGAAACAAATAACCTCCACTATTATTCAACGAAAATACAAACCTAAATTTCTAAGGAAGCATAAGATTAAAAAAGATCAGTAAAATTAATTATAAGCATTTACTTTTGCGTTTGAGTCGCATCCATTCATGCTATATATATATGCTCATATATATATATATGAGCACTTGAAGCCTGTGCTGCTTCTGCCTAACTCTTATTCATCCATTTACATGATGTATCTTAAGACAGAATTTTTCGGACCTCATTACTTCTTTTCTAGTGCCCATCGTTTAATCCTTTTGAGTTAGAGTTGTTTTGAGACGTTTTGTCTTCTTTACTACAGACACACACAGCGCAATGGACTTCAATCGCACACACAATGCATAGGACAAGGAATGCTGCTCATAGATACTTTGAAATATGGTCCTTGATTAAGATATATGTTGCAGTTCGCTACATTGCTACCCATTCTGTTTTCTTTCTCAATTCGGAATTTTCTCCATTCCACTTAATCCTCCCCACTTATTGAGTGTGTTTTATAAACATCACACTATAAAGCAACACGAGAGCTTTTTTGGCGACAGACCTCGTAATTTTGAATCATGGTCAAGTAAATCCCCTCTCCAAACCATGCCAACGGGAGAATTTTGTGCCAAAACAGATGTAATTCTATTTAATTAATGAATAAATAGCAACAAACAAAAATAATAGTCAAACAGCATACATAAAAAGAAAAATCGCTCGTTGTGTCCCTTGAGCACAATGGACAGTGCGTTGGACTTCTAATCCAAGGGTCGTGGGTTCGAAACCCCCCTGGATAGCATAATTTCTGAGGATGGGATTTCTTCCTACAATACTATTTTATTGGAATAATTAAATTTAATTAATGAATAAATAGTAACAAACGAAAATAATAGTGCAACACCATACATAGAAAGGAAAATGGAAAATCGCTTTCTATTTTACCACTTTATGTTGTGATTCTGTCTCATATGTTTAAATATAAATCATTCATATTAATTATAATTATTTAAGAAAAAATAACCAGAATAACAATTTTTTTATTGACCTTATTAGGGAATTGACTTAAAAAAAATTTATACTATTTTTTATTAATATTCTGTAGCAAGTCTTTGGATCTAAGAGACTTGTCCTCACATCTGACGTAATATATCTACGTAATCTGTTACTCTAAGTATAACAAAAAACGTCAATAAATATCACAGAATTTCTTAGGGAAAAACAATAAGAGCTTTGAAAACAACGATCAAAAGAGCACCGCCCTAACAGCACAATTTATTTCGAAAAAAAATCCATAGACAATAGATGGCAACCAAAGTGTGATACTTACAAGGGGGAAAAGAAGGGGAATCAAAAAAGTATCCGATTCTCCGGGATTTTGGCAAAGATGAAAGTGAGAAAATCCTGTCTTAATCCCCAAGCACAGCTGTTCATTCTTAAGTCCCAGCAGATTTTTCCCTGTTCCTGGACATCTCAGAACTTTCACTTCCAGACAAAGCACATTACCTATTTCTGTAGAATTTTTTAAGAACATGGTTCAAGATGATCTTAGAAAGACAGGAAATTAAATTTTATAAAGATATTTTTTTAGAGTTCTGATCTTTTCCTTAGGCATTTAAATGCGAAAACTCTTTTTTTACAATTCTAAAAGAAAAGTGAAGGGCTCTAGATCTGTAGAATATCAACTTGCATGATATGCCTTTGCTTACCAGTAATATAAATTTATTTCAGAAAGCAAAATTTATACTTGTGCCTTTAATGATAGTTTTAAGGCAGAGTTTCTCAAACTGTGGGGTGCACTCTCCTAGGGGGACGTGATGACTCTATGAGGTTGTAGTGAGCATATTGAAAGGTCGAAAACAAAAAATTATTTTTAAAAAATCATTAATTTACTGAAAGTAAGCAAACAAAACGCATTCTGGCATAATAAAAAAATACACATTTACATTGATATAATACACTTATGAATGTATCAGTACTGCACAGTGTATTGTATAATTAATTTAATAATACTAAATTAACAACAACAAAATTAATAATTATCAATGACCCATCAGCTTATCATATATAAAATTATATACAAAATTAACACTTATCTTGATAATTTGAACGGTTTATAATTATTCACTTAACTGCTAAATTAAAGTTACGTGAATCGCTCCCGAACGTCCCCATTTTCCACGTAGGTGGGCGTGTGTGATGTATGGAGGGGGGAGGAAGAGAAAAGGAATAAATGAGCAAATCCTCCGAAATAAGTAAATCCTTCGAAAACACTGTAAAAGTCCTTTCATTGCATTCCAAAGTCTTCGAAATAACTTTATGAATAGTAATGCACAAAAAATATCGCACTTCGGAAAGACGTATATATACGTCCAGGGCAATTAACGCTTTGGCTGAGTGAGACGTTTATATAAGCCGATGGCACTTAAGAGGTTAAATTCTTATTGTAGCTTTAGTGTCAAAGTGTATTACTGAATTAAGTACATTGTTATTGTATGTAAGAGGGGGGGGAGGGCGATGAAAGTTATGATTGAATATTGGGTCGCAAATATTGAAACTTTGAGAAGCACTGTTTTAAGGCTTTAAATAGAGTAAGCACACATTATATATGGTACCAAAAATCAAAAGTCGAATGACACATAATATAGATATTCATTATAAAAACATTCATAGCGGGTGAATATTTCAATAACGATATTGTTATTCAAGACAATACTTGAATAATTAAAATGAAGACCCAAATTAGGGATTAAGAAAATAGAGCATTTTGCTGTACTGCACATTACCTTTATAAGGCCACCTATTCGGTACAGTGACGCTGACTGCTGTGCCGTAAGGCCTTAGCTCGAATTCTGGAGAAGGCATGGATGTTTGTAAATGTATAATGCCTTGGCGGCATGGGGGTACTCTAAATGGTCGTCGAGCCACAAGTCCTCTCGGGAGGTTTGTGGAAGGGGAAGAGAGATGGGAGGCCCCTGACAACCCCCAGAGTGTTCTCCCTTAAAATTGGAGTAGCACCGAGCCAAATCATAGTGTTACCTGAATGGTGCTCAAAGATTCGTCTAACGACAGGCTTACATCTAGCCTTTTGCCGTGGTGAATTTCTTGGGTTTCGATCTGACAACGTCAGACAGGTAGTATTTGTAACAACACCTCTATAAAAGTACCACTTTTGACCATTTCAATGGGCCTCGGTAACACAATGATCATGAGGATGTGTAGTAAGTGACGTTGTAGCCCAGCCCCGTGTTAAAATCCTCCTCTAAAGCTCTGTGATTTAGCGGAGCCAATGGATTTTAAATATGCCAAGCATCAGTTTTTGAGTGGTGTGGTTGCATTTGTAACTGATACAAATTGAATTAGGTACATTGTTTAGAATTCAGATTTAAATAGTTCGAAAATTTAATGCGTTGTAACTCTTTTTGTACTTTTTCATTTCTGTTTTTTTCCCACGAAGTTAAGACTTATTTTTGCCACACTATTTCAAGCAGGAATTGTAATATGCTCGTAATTCGTTTAAACCTAAAAAAAAGCCCATTAAGCTCTTAATATATTTCGTATAATATGATTATTTTAATTCTACACACTTTTCAGTTTATGTAAGAAATTTTTGTCTCTCGAAGTTTATTAGGATCTTAATCTAATTATTCAATAAGAATTTCATGAAAGGTTTTGGTATTATAAATTTTGAAGAAATTACTAACGGAAAAAACAATGTTCAGATTGCAAAAAATTTAAGGTGTCCCAGCTAAAGATTTTCAAACTTCCAGGAGAGGAGCACTGAAAAGACTCCAAATTACATGATGTCTCGGAAGCGCCTTTCTGACGTGGCAGATGGCGTTTCTGGGAGGCAATGTGTCAACTTTGCTCATTCAGAGGCTTCATTTTTCACTGGAACGTAATAGTTGTACAATAGCATATTACACAGACGCGGAGCTTGCAGATATTCATCAATATGCGGAGCCGCGGATTAGAATTATCAAATACACCGAAGTATTAGAATTAAAATGAAACACCAAGCACCCTAAGATATCCGATGAGGCGTGTGAATGTCTAAGGTATCCGACTATGTTGGGAACCGTGATTTTAAAAAGCACATAAATGGATAATTTTAATGATATTTAGTATCACTTAGATTAGAATACATGTATGAAATTGTTTTAAGGATATTATGAGAAAAAAAATTGCTTAAATACAATATTTTGGCAAAAAATTAATTTAGTTTAATTTAATTAATTAATTTTTCAAAACGTTCCCCTTTTATAAAAAATGCTTCTATAATAATAATATTTTTTTAAAAATTTTA